AGGTCTCTTTTAATGAAAATTCTCTGGCTCCTTTGAGTTACAAAGACGACAGACTAGGAAGAGAGCCTAAATTTAGACTTCTTAAGAAATAGACAGGCATCAGCTAAGATCTGTGTCCATTGTCCACTGAGAATTACTAGGAAATAACGAATTCATGTGTTCTGGCAGAAGAGTAACATACTTAGGTGTACAAGACACCCAATAATCCAAATGAGTATTTTACTGCAAAAGAATGAACGTCACATCAAGGAAAAGCAAACAAGTGTAGTCAAATTTAGGAAAGTAGACAGAATAAAATCACTGAAATAATTTTCTCACGTATAGATGTCTTTTTCCTCAAAAGGAGATATTTTTCTGACGATAAAAAGTACAACCATTCATAAAAAGATACATGGCAAAAAGATAAAGCAAAATATAAAGTCATTCAGCATTCCACTAATTTTATGATAGGGACAGCAGGGTCAAATACACCTATGATCCCTTTTTTTTTTTTTTGAACATCCTTCTAACACACACAGAGATACACTTTTTATTAACAGTTGTAGAAATTTTTCCTATCAGTGTATGATCGTCCATTATGATTTATCGTCCATATATCGTCCATATATGATCGTCCATTATGATTTTGACCATTCTCTTGACATTCGATCTTTAAATGCTTTTTTTCCTACTATAAATGATGCTAGAAATGTATATTCTTGCCCACTTCCAATCCATGATCCACAGCTATTGAGAGTGTTCTTATCCAAACACAAATCTTATTTTCTCCTTTTGGTTGCTTTAAAAGCCACCAGTGGCTTTTCATTATCCTTAGAATTAAGCTCAAATTCCTTTCCATGGCCTAAAGGGCCTGTATGACTTGAATGTTACCTGCATCTTCACTGTCATCTTTACCATTCTCTCCTTGCCCTGCACACACAATGCTGGTCTACATTTGTTCCTCAAACATATCCTGTTGTTTTTTGCTTTGGGGATCTTGCACATGCTCTTTCTAATGCTGGCAAAGTTCTTCACCCCACAGCTTTTTTCAAGGACCATCATTCTCCTCAGGTTCCAACATCCCACCATCTCATTAGGCCTTTTTTTTTTTTTCAGTGAGGCCTTCCACAGTATACAATGTCCTAGTTCTTAACTTCCTGTGCAAAACAAATTCTCTGTATTTGACTATTCCTTTCCACATCTGCATTAAGGCCTCACCTTACTGCAGGAAGAGATTCTAAAGACAATTCCTGCTCTAAAAATCTTTAGGACATCTAAATCATCAGCTTTTCAGGCCAGGGATTTAGCTCAGTGGTTTCACCACCTGCCTCGAAAGTGCAAGGTCTCAAGTTGATCCCTGGTACCAAAAAAAGAAAAAAAAAAATCATCAGCTTTTCACGAGCATAAATATCAATCCTCCTAGTCTCCCTGGCCCTAAACCTATTAATCATTTGACTCCTCCCTTTACTTCTCCTTCATGCCTTTCATCCAATTGCTTATGGTCACTGAAGACTCACCTCCACAAAACTTTTTCATGCCATATCCTCCAGCAGGCTCTTTTGATTATTGCAAGGTTGCTGCAGTAGCTATCTTCTGGGTCATTCTCCTTCAGTTCCCCTCCCTACCTTATTCATCTTACTTACAGTTGCCTTTCTAACTTCAGATTATTAAGCTACTTCTAAGATAGAAGTGAACAAGTTCACTTATTCATTCAGATGATTTTTTTTTTAGAATTTCAATGTGGAAAGAAGGTATGTAAGCCCATCCATGATTTCAAGCAGGTAAAAAATTAGTGGAATAAAATACTGAGGTACAGTGAACCCATGACATACAAACTCAATTCCTTCCCGAGGGCTGGTTGTAACTTAAGTTAACTGAAGGCTCTCAGTCTCCTCTACACAGCCTTCAAAGTCTCTCTCCTGTGTACAGGCCAATCTCAGTGTCCTCAGAGTGGCAGTGGCCCAAGATTTCTCAATTAACCCTACAGGAAAGGATATTGTAATGTTCCTTCCAGAACTCTTTGAGGGTTAAATCTATCTGAGACCGTCTAGAAACACAAGCGGCCAGCATTTGGGTCATCACTTAAGACTTTAGTCTTAAAACTTAACCCAGGTTAACTCAAGTTGTTTGTATGCCAGGCCAGTCATAAGTCGAAGGTCCACTGTACCTGGCTGCAGTATTACCTAAATTATAAGCTGCTTTTCCCAACACTGGAACTCTCCAGAATGCAGCAGTTTACCTTTCCAGTCCTGTCTACCATGACTTTCGTCTTTGTTATCATGTCCTGTACATTTCATTTACAATGAAGTTATCATTCAGTGAAAAACTCTTAAGTTCAGTCTAAGTCCTTTCCAACCTGTCTGGCACTGCCTCCCTCACTTTGATGGCACTATCCAGTCCTTTCTCCAGGGTTTTGTAAGTCTAACTTCCACAGGTCTTTCAAGAATCCATTTTATTCCTTTCATCCTTCAGCAGGTGTGACCAATGTCTCTCTCCTTTTGTATTTATAGTATAACACTTATCACATCTGCCTTCTAGGATAGATACTTGTACATCTATATTGTGTTATCCAGTTTTGCATCTCTAAAGATGGCTTTCACATAATAGGCATTCAATACATGCTGGAGTGAATTAAACAAGCAACAAGGCAAGAGCAACATTCTCAACTCAATCAGAATGCTAACATTAAATGAACTTCTGAGGGGATCAGGTAGACAGTGGATGTGAATTCAGCCAGAGGGATACATTCACTCAGAAATATTTTATTAATGTCTCAGAGATGAATCTGTCACAAAGTTTTCTCAACTTCTCCACACTCTCCAGGCATGGACTTTAAAGCTGGTTTTCAACCTTCTATATTTCCCATTCCAACAGTTACTGTAATTTGGGAAGGGGGGGTAGACAATGTTAAGAATCCCAAAGCAAACAATATTTTTAATCAGCAGGTAAATAAAAGCCTGGCTATCTATAGGGTCTGGTACAGATGGGCACAGTATGATTGTCTGTAAGTCCTTACAAATGGACTGGTAAGGCCCTGCTGTTGTGTTCATAGCTCCTTCCTTAAGAGCAGCCTTATAGAAAGGAACAAATACAGGAAGGACAGAGGCACAGTATAAAAACACAACATATTGCTCCTGTCAGGAAGGACAAACAGTAAGTGGCACAGTGAGGGACTGTGAGGGAGGAGGAATGTTCCTGGGGGTGGAGGACTTAAATATACAATCACTAATATAAACAAAATGTACACATATCCAAAGTATACACACAGTATGGATGAAGATTCTACACAGTGTGTTAAGTACTTTGTATAAATGATTTTAAGTGCCAAGACAACTTAGCAAAGACTAATCACATGATACTCCAACTGCAAAGCAAGTATTTATGCTAGTGAAAAATTAATTTGGGAATTTCTGCAATAAACTTTTTGGTGATTATGTGCTCAAACAAGAAGGTGGCCTTTATGTTACACAAATCTCTAATCAGTGGTGTACAGAGTAGTTGTTAAGAGACATTACAAGCAGTAACCTAGTTATGAGCACAAGTAAATGTCACAGATTACAAGCAGTACTCCAGTTATGAGCATACCTAAAATGTCATGGATGCTAAAAGTATGGGAGCCAGTATTCGCCAAGGTGATGCAATCCTGCAAGAGGTAGGCATGCAGTTGGGATGAGTTAATGTCCAACAAATGTTACAATGACTCTACATTTCATGCAAACTTCTCTATGCCCACCTGGTAGCATCATTAACAATGTGGATTTCCTACTCTGTCCCCTAAAAGACATGAATACAAGACAGAAAACTGGAGGACTTACATGGCTAATTGTTAACACAGCCAGACACAATGCAGCAAGGCACAGGTTCACCTACATATACCATTATACAGGTTATTTCTCTATGTAATCAGTTTGCTTTGAAATTCTGTTTATTTTATTTTGGATATTTAAAGGCATTTTGTGAAAAGGGGCTCGTAGGCTTCACCAAGATGGAATGGATCTGATGAGCACAAAGTCTAAGAGTGCTCTTGTAAACAGTGAAGCCAGCAAGGAAGGCAAGTTGTGGCCATTACAAGTGACAGTCACTCCTCCTCAAGGATGTTATGACCAGTGAATAGTCTGGCATCACAAGAATACAACTTCCACGAGCAGAGTTACTATTGTTGGTGTTCAAAAGCTACAGACCTCATAAGACTCTGATTAATGCTGAATACCCTAAAGCAGAATTAAAACTATGATATCCACCTAATGTACTCAGATCAGTCAGGGCTTACTCTAATACATGTGAAATAAGTAAAGATCCTGAATTAAATCACTCCTAGAAATTGTTACTTGTTTGAATTAGGTCTTCTAGATATTTCAAAATAATTACCTAAACCTTCAATATAAGAAAACAAAAAAGAACAGCCAGGTGTGGTTGTGCGTGCCTGTAATTCCAGCACTCAGGAGGCTGAGGCTGGAGGATCACGAGTTCAAGGCCAGCCTGGACTACATAATGAGTTCAAGGTCAGACTGAACTACATAGGGAGACCCTGACCAAAAAAAAAAAAAAAAAATCACACACACACATACACAAACAGGGATCATCTACTGTGTTCCCTTCAGAGAGAACCATTCTAACTCCAATATGTGAATAGAAATAGCAAAAACAGCTGATTTGTCCTCATTTCTATCCAAAGTGGTGCAAAATAACCAAATACAGCTACATCAAAATGGAAAACAATCCAAAGGTAATTCACATTTTCTAGGGAATGAATTTTAATACTGTAGTAAATGTTAAGGTGTCTGACATTCTCAGATTTGACATATCAAATTTACACACACACACAGATACACACATATAGAGGCAAGTAAGATCCATTTTCAGAAGGAATCAAGCAAATGATTTCATCAATCTTTCTGCAATAACTTCCTTTGACTTAAGATTTAAGATCAAAGCAAACAATTATATATAATATCTGGGTCCCCCAAATATAAATTCAGATTATGAATGAAGTCACAGACACATAACAAAGACAAGCAAGAATTGGTCAATTTATCAGAGTTTAGTATTTATAATATTACATTTTACGATATTACCTAGTTGAACTGGGTACAAAATGAGTAAATGCATTCCAATTCAAAACAAAAAGTGTTTTTATAAATTGGAAATAATTCTGAAATAGTTCCAGTCTTAAAGGTTGAAAGGGGAAAGTATGTCTACTTTGTCTACTTCCCACTGTTCCATTTAGAACTTCTGTGTCTTCCAAGCTTTTGTGGCAATCAAATCAGGATTTTATAACATCAGATTAATATTTTGACTTTCAGTACTTTAGAAAATATGTTTATGGTTTAAAAGTAATTTGAATATTTTAAAATTTAACAAAATAAGTGATAATTTTATTAGCATTCCACGAGTATTTTCTACACTTTGTTACCAAAAATATATAGTTTTTATCGAAAACTTAAGTATGCATATCTGAAATTTTGTTAATAAAATTCTGACTTTCCTACAGTGCTGTTATACAGGTCAGTTACAGGAGATGGGCAATATTTTATATAATGAGGATGTTTAATTGATGTTTTGTTTCTCTTTTTTTTTTTAGAACAATGGTCTTCAAAAGTGGGAACAATAGAGTCATAGAATAAAAAACACAAAACAACAACAACAAAAACTTCCCAGATGGTGTGACAGAAAAGATAAGAGTGTCTCAAGTCATCAAAATCTTTGGCTTCCATACTGACATGGCTATAAGAAACTAAAAAGGGGATATAGAGAAAAAAGAGGAATTAACTAGTAGGATACTTATAGATTTCTAATATTTGATGTCACCTCTTTTGATTAGGCTAATGATCTATTAGCATAAGGATCTAAATTATATGTAGTGAAATGTGTGCAAGTTATTTAAATCTTTTCTATGTTTTGATCATTTTCTTAAAAACAGATATTCCCAGACAATCATTAAATAAAATTATTTAAATCCAATGAAAAATACACCACTAATTATTACAGTACTAGTATAGATTTTATAGTAAAATTAGTAATCCAATACCACAATGAAAGTTATCCAGAAAAAAAACAGTTTATCTCAAAATAATTTTAGCTGCAACCTCAAAATATGATTTGATTTTATGGTTATACTATAAACAGAATTCAAAAGTTTTAGTTGTGTTGACAAGTTGTGAGTAGTGTCATTTATTTTTCAAGCTATCACACTTCTTAATATTAAAAAAAGCAGTGAAATTAAAATTTATTTTGAACTGAGTGTGGAGGCTGAGGCAGGAGAATTGTGGCGAGTTCAAGGCCAGCCTGAACCATTTTGAGAGACCCTGTCTCAAAACAAAATAATAATAATTAATAAATAAAATTCATTTTGAAAAAATCATTTTGAACCTCCAATTTCTTTTTCATTGATTGCTTTTGAGAATTATAATGCTGTAGGACAGATATAGTATGCATATTTGAAGAAAATATAGTAATGTAAAATCACACAAGAACACACAAGTCATTTTTTTCTAAGGTTTAATTTTAACTAATAAATTTTAAATGATGAATATAATGCCAATCCAAGTCTTTGCTTATTTGTAATGCACAAACTACATTTTGCAACTTGTGGATGAAATACATTCTTTTTACCATTAGATAGTTTTCACCCTTATTTATGGTCTCTTTAATTTTTTCCCCTTGAGTCCTTTTTCTTCAATAGTTTAACAAGTCACTTTTGGATTGGCTAAAGAGCAATCCTAGAACAATAATGTTTCAACTTGCAAGGAAGAACACCCTTGTTGAGTTGGTAGAACTCCACCAGCTGGATTAGATCTGTAAATCTGGTGTGGCCATCATCCAGAGTGTGGAACATCTCACCATCCTCTTCAACCTGAAACAGGAAAAGCAACACATTGGGAAAGACAGTATATTAGCCAGAAGGACACTCCCATTCCACTGCATACTATTTCTTCATACACCAAAATTGACAAGTTTATAAAATTAAGCAGGATGAAAAGAGCACTGCAGCATGCCCACTTCTTTTTTACAATGTCACTTGCATTGAAAAGAATGGTCTTTGAAGCAACAATGTGACTTTACTGTCTCTATCCTTGTAATTCTCCTAGTATTTTGTTTAGTTACGATAGTATAACTATTTTGAATCACTCAACAGTGAAATATCTGTACTATTCAGTATAAAAGCACACAGAAGAGTTTAATGTTCTCATTTACAGAAATTAATTTCCATTTCTAAATATTGTCTATTTCATGCCTCACTCGATATATTAAAATGAATATTCACACAATTTATATCAGCAAATTGATTCTAAACCAATCAAATAATATACTAATGGAATGACAGTTGGGTTTTTTTTTATGGGTTTTGGAGGAGGGGAAGGTTCTGGCATTAAACAATTCAGACTTGGAGATACTGACAATATAATCAAAGAAACAGGAAAAATACTTTATATACCCTTTGGATAATTCCAGAAAGAGACAAGCAAAAGGAAGCACTAGCTATTTAGCAATCTTACATAACGCCTTCCTGAAAGCAGACTGAATCTATTGTACATGACTTGATTCCAGTGTACACAACACACACAAACATAAATGCACATGCATGTAGATGCACAGCAGCAGAAGCAACAGAAATCTCAAAGCAAACTGTGTTACCCAGAAGTAGAAATCACAGAAATTCTAAAAATATTCTTAAAATAACTTCGATCAGCTCTATAGCTCCTGAGTTTCCATCCATAATGATTAAAAACAAACCAGCAAAAGAGCGACATCAAAAAAAATAATGTTTTTGAGAAAAGAGAGCGGAAAGAGCTTTAAAATAATGTTTTTTAAAGAACTGTTAGGAAAATTCAGGAGATTCTTTAGTGGCCTTTTAACAATAGGTGGCATAGGGTCTATAAGGTATTGCTAAATCATGTTTCACAGAAAAAAGGAAATTTAATTTTTACAATTCCTGTATTTCTTATATTAATTCAGGCTCATAAAACCATTTCTGTCAAACTTAACTCAAGTCAAAGCACAACCTCCCGTACTATATTTAATAAAAGAAACAAAAGAAAACCAAAGTTTCCAAAAGTTTATGCATTAAGATCATTTCTAATATATGAATGTGAAATCACAAATTACTTACTGGTATAATTTGAAAGTGCTTTATTTTTTGTCCATGACTCATTGACAGTACGAAAGTTTTGGGGTTACTCTGACTATCCCGTACCAAGAAAACTCTAAAGAGAGAGAAGGAATTTCAATATGTTTCTATATTTACTTATGGATTTCACAGATAGCATGTAACAAATCCAGGAAGTGTATTCATCAATGTGGTAGACAGGGATTCCTTTACTCTGTATTCAGTGGGTAAGATTATCTACTTGACAACAATATGTTATAACAAAAACTATCATCAGTTCCAATGTAATTTTAATAGGATAAATATACAGCCCATTTGTCAGATTGTTTGTTCACAGTAAGTAATATAATGTTATGTTGGCATCAATAATTAGTACTACATGCTTTTTCCATTGGGAAATTGGGTATTGCCATGTAACTCTTTATCACAAAGAATAACACATTGGTATGTTGTATTTTCCTAATGTGTCATGTTAAGTCCCTGAAAAGAGATAATTATTTAGAGTGAAATAATTTTTTACCCCCACTTCTACACTGGATCCATTTTCTTCTTTTGATTCTTGTTTCTAGTATTACATACACAACAGAAGTAAAAAATGAATATATTCTAAAAATAAATCTTGAAATTACTTATGAAATGTAAACAAAATATTTTTAGTAAAGGAAGCACCCTCAGACATGCACTTTAACCTTGAAGAATGCAATGGAAAAAGCTTCCATAACATCAAACTAGGAAAACAAGACCTGGCCTAATGGCCAAAGGAAAAAAGGCTGCTGGACATGGATTCTTATTTATTGGCACTGCAGTGGAAGACCAGTTTTGTATTAATTACTGTAAAACACACTGTAAATGGTCCCTGCTGGTGACTCCAATACAAACCTCACTGTGCCTGGGCAAAGAGGCAGCTAAATTTGAGGCTTTACAGATGTCTGATGAGATTATCAATTTCATTTGTGCTGTGTGAGATTCTGACAGTGTATCACTGGGTGAGGGGACAAAAGGGTGTTTCACTGGTAAGCTAAACTGTTAATTCTTTTCCCCTTCCCAGGAAGATCTCCACTACCACCTAGTGGATCACTTGGCACCATCACGTCTTTTCAGAGAAATACAGAAAAAATTTAAAAATACAGATATTCAATTTACAAATATTGAGGTCAGAAATAAAGGGAATTCTAATACTCTAAAACATTTCAATAATTTTTTGTGATTTATACTTTTCTTGGTCTCAACAGATTGTAACTCTGCTGATTACTCATATTTATACCCATAAAGACTATGATCCATGCATATAAAATTTTTTCTTAGAGTCTGTGAAATGCTAACTCATTATTAGTAATCTGTTATGTGAAAATGAATGTTTTTATCTAAATATCAGTATTAAGTCAGTTCAAATCCTTGTCATCATTTTAAGCCAAGCTTTAAAGATAAAAGTCCATCATCACTTGTTTAAGTTGAGACTGGTTTAATTTCTCATCCAAACCTCAACACAGGGCTGGGGATCTAGCTCAGTGGTTCTGCTGCTTGCCTTGCAAGCGCAAGGTCCCGAGTTCAATCCCCAGTATCAAAAAAAAAAAACCCTCAATACAACCTTCTTCACTTGTACTCCTTTTGGAAGCGAATTTAGCCAGTGTTATAAACAGCAGCTAAGTAACACTGAGTAACTTAAGAGGCAAATCCTTTAAATGATAACTCTTTCATAATACATTTTATATTTCTCTGTGTACTCCGTGGTATCTCGTTACAATATAACGGGAGAAATTACCAAAAAGTACTCGTTTCATAAGCTTATATTATTTTTTGGCTGTTAAAATTTACAGAAAAAGCAAAAAGGACATAAACAAATGCAAAAAAAGTAAACCCACTCAAAATACATCAGAAAAAGCAGTGACATAATACACCCTGCATCGTACCTTACAAAGTACAATATGTATAACATGATACAAACCATATTCTGGAATCATATTAATCATACATTCAAATTAAAATGTTGATACCCAAACTAGTTTAATTTTTTCCTTCATGAATATCTGAGATGCTAGACTTGGCACAGAATGGATATTAGTGCTCATTGGTTAAAAACAAAGTATCCTATTTAGTCACCTATTCATTTACACAAAAATACTAAGCAAACACTGTGTACCAGGTATAACAAAGATATTGTTACAATATTAGAACCACCATTACAGACAAGGCACTACTGTTTGATTAGAAGCCAAAACTAAAAACTCTTAGTATGATGACTAATTATTGTCTATAGGAGAAATCCAAATCGACATCACTCAAAACCAAAAATATCAAACTCACCCATCCACAAGTCCTTGCTGAATAATCAGTCTCTGAGCCTCATCTCTAGAAATTCTGTGGTGAAACCATGGCTGAGACCGATGGATAGCTGAAGAAATAAGATGAACAAAGACACAGGTTTGTTTGAAATGATCACAGTTTCCCTGTGTGGACTTCCCTCCTGATGCACCTGGTGACTGCAGCTAAGCACATCCACCTGCCCACCGACTCTGTTGCAATCAGACATACCCATGTTTGCAGCAGAGCTCTGTGAGGAGGCCGTGGGGCTACCATGAATGCCCAGGCGTAAACATCCCTTTTTCTGGGCAAGGAAGGGAAAAACAAACCTCAATTGTTTGGGTGAAAGAAACTGAATTCATAAATATTTTTAAAGAAAGTGAAAGTATTAGTTACCCTCCAAGCGAGTCCTTCTTCAACAGCAACTGAAAGGGCTTCAGTGGGATTCTCTATAACTCTGCTTTTCTGACCTGAGAAGTCCATTGCTACCAGGGAATTCTCTGATATACTTCTCTAGAAAAAGAACACACCTCACTTTGAGCCATGACAGTATCACTGAAAGTTATCTTTCAGTGCTTTGCTGGCAGTATGCTTTCACTCTAGACTGAGAAAGTGGCTATCAAGAGATTTAGAAAATTGAAATACACATTCAAGATTAAATGATAATATAAAATACTTTGGTTAAGTATGGTTATTTGTTAAGATAACTGAATTAAGTGCTGAATAAAAACATGAAAAACTTTGAATGAAAGCATGAAAACAAAACTTTCTTTTCACAGTCTTGGATAAAATGGCTAAACTCCCACTGAGAAAAAAGTAACCCTTTCTATGGTAAAAAAGCCACCTTCTGATTAAGCCTTCAGATTCATCAATTATCCATTAAATATCAAGTTCACCTACTTATAAAGCAGCTATTTTATGATATTCAAGATCCACAAGAGCTATAGATGGACACATATCTCCTTAGAAATAGTATTTATGTTTTATAATGGAGCAAACTAGAATATGTTTTTTATAAGTTTGTAACATAAATATTCAAATTCATTAGAAAATTAAATTTAGTGGAGTAATAATTAGAAGAATTCAACATTAAAATTTCCATGGTTTCATGTTCGAACACTTTTTTCTTTCTTTCGTGTAGTGATAAGGCACATGGACAAAGGAGAGCTGGAAAAATAAATCCGAATGACAGAAAAAGTGATACAAAGAAGACATCTTGGGGTCAGGGATATAGCTCAGCAAGGTCCCAAGTTCAGTCCCTGGTACTGGAAAAATAAAAATAAAAAAGAAGACATCTCTATGAAGGCAAAATTTAAACAAGTGCTACACTCATTGTTTTTGCTAATTCCTACTCCTCCTCTACCTTCTCCTCTTCCTGCTTTTCTTCCTCCTCCTCCTTTTTGGTACTAGGGATTGAACATAGGGCTCTCTCACTGAGCTATATCTTCAGCCCTTTTTTATTTGGGGTCAGGGTCTTGCTTAATTGCTAAACTGCCCCAGCAGTTTGGAATTGTCATCCCCTGTCCCTGCCTCAGGTGTTGGGATTACAGGCATGAGCTACCACACCTGGCTAATAATTACTTCTTATGTTCATATTCCATGAAGTGAAACCAAGATATCCAACACTTGAATTTTGTTTTTATTTTGAGGTTCTGATTCACAACCATCTTCTAAAAATCGTGCCACCCCACAAGAAGTCACAAATCCTAAGAAAAGAGGCAACTGTCAAAATCTAGAATCAAGAATATCATTAATTTTATACAATGGGAAGTTAAATTAAAATTCCCCCCAAAATTTTTAAATGAAAAATATTTAACATTCTCCATTAATTAATAGAAAACCAAAAGCAGAAGTGGAATACTATTTTTACTCAATAGGAAGATTAATTAAAATTCTCCAAAGGAAAAAAATTAAAAAATGGAAAATATTTATTCTCCATCTATGAATAGAACAGCAAAACCAGAAATGAAATTATAATGGTAAAGTGTGAGCTACCGTGCATCTGAGAGGTCATGGTTTTCACAGTTTTATGTCCTTCACTCTGTGTGGATTTAGCCTTGCCTCACTTGTTTGAAGAGATTACTTAGGCAAATGTAGGCTTCAAACAAAACTACCCAAGAGAAAATATTTAGCATTTCTTTATCACTGCATCACACCCCCCCCCACTTTCTTAGCATCTGTTATTTCTTCCCAAACCATGTGACAGTGATCCACAACCTTATATGGTTCTAGAGATCTGGTATGCAATCTTCCATTTGTTATAGGGGCCTTTATAACTGACAGCTGCTCTTTCCAGATAGAGGCTGTCTCAGTAATCTGTTTGCTGTCACACCTTAGTTTGACCTTCTCACTCGTGGTCTTTTGTGCAGAGCTGAGGACCACTCAGACACATTTTGGTTTCACCAACCTTAATGAGAAGCATCCACCTGCCCAAGCCAGAAAGTAACTCTCCTTAGTCCTAATGATAGCTTCATCCGTATAATAGCTCTTCCTTCATAAGCCTAGATTGGTTCTATAATCTCAAGTTCCTAATAACATAAACATACTGTTGGAAAAAAATAAACATAATCTGTTTTTTTTTCCTTCAATATGGCAGGCCAGAATGTAAAACAAGATCCCATGTTCCATAATTACCTGGCAAACGTAGGGAGACTGCAAGATAAATAAGAACTTTTCATCTGCTGCATTAAGTACACACTAAGGGGAAACATGAAATACAGCAAATGTTCTCCACTGAATGGTAGGTGGTAAATGAAAAAGTAATAGTTTACCTTTGGTGGGCAAAGAAAAGGAAGTAAAGCAGAGTCTGACAAACTTAAAAGGTCATTTTCAGCTCAATTTCTTTCACATAGGAAAGCAATGTTTATAATACTCAGAATTGGTTATACTTCTCAAATATTTGTCCCACTTTCTAGCTTTTTCTTCTTAGAGAATGAACAAGGCAGGCCCTAAGAAAATGGTCTATGATCTTAATGTCATGGCTTCCTAAGAAAGAAGAGGCCTGAGTAAGCCTTGGATTAGCCAAGCCATGCTTTGAGATCAGATCCACCCACTCCACTTGTAGTGAGGTTTCCATGCAAAATGTTTTCCAGGCAATTTAGCTACCTGGAAACTAGTAGTCACACACTCTTTGTCATCTCATTTGAAGGATCTAGATAAACTTGCAGCTTAGTAATTAATGAGAAGACAAAATTTCCTTAGATATTATCTCTCATCTACTTCATACAGAACCATGGGATAGCAGCAATATGATGAAATTATGCAACTATGTTCTTATTTTACATTGCAGGACAGCAATGACTAGACCAAGGTCACACAAAATGCTTATGATAAAAGCACCAACATGTCCTGTCTAGGGTTCTTTTATGTGCTACAGAATGGCAAGGTCAGGGAAGAAACTGAAGTTTAGAATGTCTATCCCAGGGTCAGACATGAAGAATCAAAAGAACTTGAGGTGGGGAAGATGGCAGAGTAAACTCCAGTAGCATATCACAGTATCTCTAAGACTTGAAATCACAACACCTGAAAAACAAGAACTTAGTAAAGAGAAAAGAGAAATGAGCGAAAACGCCAAGAAGAAAACTAAAAACCAGAAACCAAGAAAAAGCTCCAGAAACCAAGAAAAAACCAACAGGAAAACTAAAAATAGACACTGGAGAAACTGAAAACAATGCAGAGAAAAGAATGAAGCCATTTAGAAGGCTGACCCTGACTCATGGGGTGCGGGCCTGTCTCCAGAAACACAAGATAAGCATGGATTGGGGTGGCAGTGCTGTCCCCAAGAAAAGCACATAGTTGTGAATTGCAATTACAGTGTAGTATTTTACTTTGAAAGTGGCTCTTTCTGCATGGCAGGCTAGACTTGGAGAAGAAATCCATTGCAGCAGGTGCCATATTTGGGAGTGATTAATCAGGAGCCATTTGGGGAAAGGGTTTAAGACTAAGCCACCTTTGGAATCAGAATTTACAGAAAAACTATTCTTCAAGGTTTCTGGGGTCACCCTACAAAGTAACTGGTTGGGAAACAGCTCCAAGAGCCAGTTCCAAAATAGGGGTGAGCTGGTCAAAAACTCTGAGAAGTTTAGGAAGCAGTGAACTTAGGCCAGGAAGGACACAGTGGTCCCATCCACTGTTATTAGAAGCCAGGCTGGGTGTGTGTGGTTTTCTGAGGGGGATGTGTCTAAAAGTGCTGGCACTAAATCCAGTAGATTGCTTCACCCTTGCCCTCACTGAGATAATAATTCAATGATAGGATTCTGTAACCATCTTAAACACATTTCTGCTGGCTTGAATCTCCGGTGGTACATGCGTGACTGTCCCATCAGTCCTCCACTTGAATTACCAGTGGCTAACTATTCAACATCAGACAGTGGAATTTCAAATCACAGCTGCCTGGCAGGAAGACATGTGAATTACGGCCCCATCATGAATGTGTTAAAGTATTAATTTTCAATGTCAACAGTCTCAACTCCCCAAAAGACAAAGACTGTCAAATTGAAACCAAAAACTGATATGCAAGCATATATTGCCTACAGGAGACACACTTCATGCAAAAGGAAGCTTAGAGACTAAAGGTGACAGGATAGAAAAATGATACACCATACAACTGGAGCCTAAAAGCAAGCAGAAGCAGTTATTTTAAAAAATAGACTTCAAGTCAAAACTGATCAGAAGAGAGAAAGATGGTTACTACATACAGGTAAAATGAAAAACTCAACAGGTGGAGATCACAACTGCAAATACCTATGCACTGGGTGTTGGTCCATCCAACTTCATAAAACAAAAATTACTGGACATAAAACCACAGAAAGACACCAATACAATCATACTGGGGGACTTCAACATCCCACTCTCACATTAGGTCCACTAGACAAAAAATTAGCAAAGAAGTTTCAGAGTTAAAACACACCACTGAACAAATAGACTTAACATATAGGCCCAGAGTGTTTCATTCAGCAACAACATAATACCCATTTTCTTAGCAGAACACATAACTTTTTCCAAAATAGACCTTTCTTAGGCCATAAAGCATACTTAAATAAATACAAAGAGCTGAAATAATCTCCTGCATACTACTGGATCAATACTGTCAAAATGATCTTACTACTAAAACTGATATAAAAATGTAATGCAATCCCAATCAATATCCCAACAGTATTCATCATAGAACTAGAAAAAAATTCCTAAAATGTATAGGTCCAGCATAGCAACAGCAATCCTGGGCAAGAAGAGCAAAGCAGGAAGCAGCACAATCCCAGATTTCAAGTTATATTGCAAAGCTACAGTCATAAAAACAGCATGATACTGACACAAAAGCAGAGATGTGGATCAGTGGACATGAACAGAGGATGAAGATACAACCCACATGATCATATAGCCATGATGTTTTACAAAAGGGCCAAAAACATATGCTGGAGGAAAGATAGCCTCTTTTACAAATGGTGCTGAGGAAACTGGCTATCTACATGCAAAAGATTGAATCTAGACCCCATCTCTCATCCTGTACTTAAATAAAATCAAAACACAACAAATACCTATATATTAAATCAGCAACACAATCTACTGGAAGGAAAAACAGGTAAAACTCTTGAAGACATAAGCATAGGCAAGGACTTTCTGAGCTGACCACCATTTGTACAGAAATATCAGCAAGAATCAAACTAAAAAGCTTCTTGGGTCAGGGATTTAGCTCAGTAGTGCCTCACCTGCCTCACAAGTGCAAGGTCCTGAGTTGGATCCCTGTTACTGAAAACAAACAAACAAACAAACAAAGCTTCTGCACAAAAAGGAAACAACCGACAGAGTGAAGAGAAAACCTATTGAATGAGATTAAAAAATTTTGCTAGCTATTCCTTGGACAAAAAGACTAATATCTAGAATATATAAACAACTCAAAAAATTAGATCTCCCAAACAAAAGACTCAACCAAAAAAATGGGCAAGTGAAATGAATATCCACTTCTAAGGAATGGAAGTACAAAGAAAACACAAAGAAGTACATGAAAAAGTGTTCACATTTTGGCCATTAGATAAATACAAATTGAAACAACTTTGAGATTCCACCCTGTTCCAGAAAGAACGGCTGTCATTAAGAGACTGAGGGAGACATGAAGAAAAGGGATTGAGATGTGCTACGTACATGTACCAAACCCACACGAGGAATGTAAACATTATGTACTGCAAACATGTACAAAAAAAAGCGTGGGGATCAAGGGATAGATGGAAGGGCGAGAGAGGGAAGGGAAAGGGGATTTAAAATAGGAATTAAATGTGTTATGTACATGTACCAGTTTCCCACAAGGAATGTAAATATGTACTGCACACATGTACTCTAATAAACTAAAGTAATTTTTAAAATAATTAAAAACAAATGCTGGAGAAGTTATGGGGAAATGGAACCCTTCTACATTTTTGGTAGGAATGTAATCTAGTACACACAATATGGGGATCAGTAGGGAGAGTCCTTAAAAAAATAAAAAAATAGAAATTCCATTTGACCCAACTATTCCCCTTCTGGGTAACTTCCTCAAAGAGTTAAAAGATATCATATTATAGTGATACATGCATACCAATACTAAAGCACCACACTCAGTAGCTAAATTGTGGAAGTGGTCTATCTGCCCCTAAGGGGTAAATGGATGAAGAAAATGTGGTAGATGTACACAGTGAAGTACTACTCAGCTATAAAAGAGGATAAATCTGAATCATATATAGGAAAATGGATGCACCTTGAGACCATAATGTTAAGTGAAATAAATCAGGCAGAGAAGCACAAATATCGCATCCTTTTCTTATATGACAAAGTCAAAGTATAAATAAAGAGCAAAGTAAAAGATAATAGGAAAAAGGTAGACAGATCTTTTGGAAATGGGAAAGGGAATTTAGGGATGAAATTAGAGAGGAGGGAGGGAAGGGAAGGGGAAATAGAAATGATTAAGATGTGATATGTACATGTACTAGGTCCTATATATTCATGATGTATTGCAAACTAATATACTAAGAAAAAAAATTTTAAAGAACTTGTGTAGAACTTTTCCCCATTTCCTCAGTGCAGCCAGGACCATATTAACTAATGCTCCTTTAAATGAATCTTTCATTTGCCCAAAAGAGGACAAAATATGTTTGGCTTCCTGAAATGTCCACTGATGATTCTTATTTCAGAGGCTGACAAGATAGCTGTTATACGATGTGACAGATACAAGGTTTTTTATGAGTCCATTTTTTTCTCATTTCTCTTCTGCAAATTTATACATGAGAAAATGTAGAAAAGAATATTCATTCCTTTTAATATATAACTACTGTAAAATATTTTAACTTTTGTGTATGGCTCACTGAAAACAGTTCCTGAATGAACAGGAGCAGAGGCTAGTGAGGGATTCTGGCTTCTATTAGCTCACTGATTCTTCTATGATAATCTGGAAAAGTGGCATTTTCTCTTATGGATACCAAAGTAACTTCCAAGTTTCCTTCATAGACATCAACATGCTCCCACCAGCTTCAGTGGCACAGCTTGAGTTCCCACAGGTGCTACATGCATGACTGCCCTATCAGGTGGCTTGTACTGCCCAATAGGACTGACCCATGGTGCCCAATGGGACAGTAATACATGTGCCACTGGTAGTTCAAAGCCACTTGGTAGAGAGACATGAAATTATGGCTTAGAAATTATGAATGTGTTAATAATAGTATAGAAAAAATTTTCCTATGGTACTCTCTCTGATCATAGCAACTCTTATGCGAGCAGGTCCTTACCACACAGGCACCTGAACCTCCTGTCCACATGATCCCTATGTCCAACCAGATTAATTTAAGGAGTATATCTTCCTGTACCAAGTAAAGCCACACTACCCAAACACTTACACAGCTTTATCAATGGCAGGATCACTTCCAATGGAAAAATGTGAGAGTAACATTATATCTATATGCTAATTACAGCAATGAGAATGGGCAATCTTTTATTTATAACAGTTTTTTCCTATGATTAAAAGGACACTAAATAATTTTGCTTCCAAATGCTTGGCTGCTATTTACATTTTCATCCTAATAACTGCAGACTCTAAAAAAATTTGAGGGATTTAGGAAAGGATTAAGATAATAACATTCATTATTCTTTATGGATTGAAAGATAAGAGTAAGCTGACAAACTGAAAATATTCACCTTATAGTGATTGCTTTTATAAAAATTCATTACATTCTTAAATTCTTATTTTATGGCTTAAGAGTAATATGATACAAAGATGAAAAGCTATTCTTGTATAACTTAAGGCAACATAATGACAGAACTGGAGTTCTTTTTCCACATAGTCTACCAGGCTTCATAATCAACATTATTTCATGCCTCATTCTTAGAACTGAGCATTTCATCTGCTACATTACATGTGGGGTAAAGGCACTTTCCTTGGTCACAGCCATGAATAGAATATTTTTAACCTAAGTGGAAACACAGGTTTCAAAAATGCACATTAACTGATTTGTAACACAGGCACATACACACAAATTTCTAATAAACTCAATATTAAAGAGTGCATCAAAAAATAGCTGAACATAAACTTAAGTTCAGAAAGAAATTTCTTGTGTTAATGCACAGGAAATTAAAATTAGGTCCTAAAGAAAGTGAAAAATGTACCTCCGTGTGTCTGCAAATAAATATCCAAGTTACAGTTAGTAAAAATCTGAGAACCAGTGCTAAAGTTAATGTAATTTATGTCCTACATTATAGCTTGCCATTTTTTGGGTTTCCTGGAAAGCTGTCTGCTTTTTAAGGACCCAGAACTTTAAAAAAGAATTACTGTTATGAAATTGAGAAAGAGCTCAAATGTTTTTAAATGCATTTTTAAAAACTTCAAATCACTGGCATTTTCATACTATGCTATGACAATCCCAAAATCAATATTAAAACAAATAAATAAGCCCAACAACAAAAATAATAATTAAGGAAGAAATCTACAATGTCAAGAAAAATGTTTTATGAAGTATATTATTAACATTTAATCCTCACTGTTGATGTAGCCCAGTGGAAGAGCAGTGCTTTATGTATGAAGCCCTGAGTTCAATCCCCAGTATTGGAAAAAAACAACAGAAAAGATATAATCCTCAAATGATGTAATGACACAGGATCACTCATGTAATTCTTTCTAAAATCAAAAAAATCATATAAAACATTATGTATGTTAACTCAATACTTCGCACATACTTCTATGACTTTTATCACACAGGATGAATAGATAAAAATCCAAATTCAATATATTATACAACCTGATTTATTTTATTTGACCAAAAGGAAATAGTAAATATATTATAATATATAAGTATAATATAATAGGAAATTAATGTAATCTAAATGTAAAATATAGGTGCAAAAATATAGTACTTACCATGGGTGATACACTCTGAGAACTGCAGCCACTTCTACCTTGATATGGATGCATATAATTCTGGTACAGCTGCATGCCATACTGCAGAATAAATAAATATGAACATATTCCCATGACTTTTAGATGACTTATAATTCATGAAAATAAACATTTTCATTAACTATATCTTATCAATATAAAAAAGAACGGTAAGATTTTCATTAAAACAAGTAGAGCAACTAAATTTTTGAAAGAATGACTTTTAGTGCCTTTCAATGATGCATTTAAAAAGACAATGTTTTTACATGGTCCAACAACTTAATGGCCAGTTCACCAATATGGTCGTGGAAGTGACATTTCTACTGTTATACTTATCACTAAATTGTACTACAACCACTTTACCATGTGATAAGAAAGCTCAGTTGAGAAAAGTGTCACGTTTTATGAACAAAGATTCTGAAAAACCAATACATATCCTAAGCAACACTGGGTAAAATTCACGGTATTCTAATGAGTGATCTGATGAATTATATTGTTTCTTTGATAAATTTGTAAGATTTTTCCTATGTGGAAAATTCCTGGGACCATACTATCCTTGTATAAATACTCTTATGGCATTAATTTTTGTCTTCAAATCCAGGGAAACCAAGGTAGTGGAGAATCACGCTGATTTCAAGAAAGTTTCAAAATACAAGGTGAGTGGTAGTAGAAAAGAATTGCAGTGTCTTCACTCTCAGAAGGCAGCAGCCTGAAGAGTGAGCTGACGGTCCACAACAGGAAAGCAGGTCTGGATTCTAAACAGATTAATGTGAGAAATACAAGAATGCCAACTGCTATAGACAAATGTGCCCTGGAGGTGTTCCCATCTGAATCCGAAAGTCACTCCCTTAGATTTAAAGTTTTTTAAAAGAAAGCAATAGGAGGAACTTTCCCCCCCCCACCCTCTAAGATTCTCTCCATTTAATGAACTGAAATGAAGCCCCAGTAACCCTGCCCTATGATTCATTTTCTGTCCCTACCTCTTGCCTGGTGCCAGATTTTGGCATGCCAGTCACTGTGCTCCATTGCTGCAAGGCCTGCACAGCACATGATCAATGTGATAGGTCCCAACAGGAACCTAAGCAAGACAGTGGAGCCAGGCATGGAAGGTGAGGATGGTGGTTTTGGCAAAGCAGAATACTCCATGTTGGACCTCATCAACTTCCAACTGTACCAGTTGTAAAAGATGAATGACCTCTTCCACACCTCCCACCAGGAGCCACTGGAGTCCAACCAGCAGGCAAGCAAGCACTGAGAAGCCCCAGTGATGCCACCCCTTGGGATGTGGCTGTTTCCAGCCAGGCCACAACATTACTTCCCTGGACTGGGCTCTGGCCTAGGTACTCACCTCCTGGCTTAGATACCTTCTCAAAGGCTGGCCTTTGCGTCCCACCCTTCTGGCACTCCTTTTGGCCTGACTGGGTGAGCCCTCACCCCCCTGTATCCAGGGTAGAGAGGGGCCTGTGACCCACTTGTCTTCCTATACAACTCCTGGGCAACCCCTACACTGCCTAGGCCTTGAGTGTCCACATTAAAAGGGTTTCCCACATCTGAAAGGAAAAAAAAGTTAGGTCCTATATAAAAGAGACTGAATGACACCATAGAATCAAATCTTACCCGTAGGATGAATTTCATTTAAACATTCCAACAGAGCTGTTTCTTTACTAAAGACTATTTCCTTAAAAGCAATTCCAGCAAAGTGGATATATTTGGTAATTAGGCAAAAAATCATAGGGAGGTTAGGAGAGTCACTGTTTTCAAGATGTTGCTTTTAACATGAATACAAACCCACAGTCATTTAAAATTCTCTGTGTTGACTTCTTTATCCAATTATTTCCCAACTTCTAAAAATTATTTTTTAATTTAAGGTTTGATGGACATTAATGAGACCTAATGAAATTTATTTTAAATCAACTCTAAGGCTATAATAACTTTAAAAAGAAGACAGAGGAGCTTAATTCCTAGACAAGTTCATTTTGGAGAACAGATGATAACCTCAAACCAGCACTTTCAAAAGGAACACTCTGCTTGGCTACCTTTTATTTATCTGTATTGAAAAGCCTGCTACCTACTAATAAGACTGTTTTCTTCAAAGATGTATTGTCCCTGGTACCTGCAGTGTTAGGCAGTTGCCTCAGTGCTGCTGGACGTCTTTAGTAGGCATTTAACTCTGGCCAAGGGGTAAAGCATGGGTCATCTTAACATTTCCCTGTCCTATGGAGGGGCAGGTAAGGGAGCAGAATATGTTAGAGAAGCTGGCAGAGCTCTAATTGAAGGGAAGGGAAAAAAATAACATGAAACTGTAACACTACATGTGAGCAAAGCTCCCATTTTATAAGTGTCAGATTTTCTATAATTCTGTATGTAACTAGAATTTACCCAAAGAGAAAGATCATCTTCTATGTTTTCTATATAAAGAGTTTACATACGCATATGAAAAAGAAGTGGAATTAAGAATTAAATAAGAGGCTAACATCTTGATGGGAGGTTATACCTATAACTCTTGGGAGCATATAATGAAAATAAGAGGACATTTCTGTGCAGCCAACGTAATAAACAGTCTGCTGGTACTCCCCACAAGAACAATGATAAACACTGGAAATAACATACTAGACAACCAAAGCAGACCACCAAAAGAGATGATAGACATATGTACTCCTAATACCAGGTAAGGCCAGCTGCAGGAGCATGGGAATCAAGCAGGAACCTCACTGACAGCAAGCAGCCAGAGAGAGGCCTCCAATGTGTCTGTGTTCCAAGACCTGGGCAGCCCTGGCTTCCTGTGATCCTATCATTTTAAAGTGTAGAGCAAATTGTATCACCTCCATTTTTGGCTTCTCACTGGCTCCAGGAGAAAGGTGCCTATCTCCTTTTCTAGTCTCATCTGGAAATGCTCCACCATCATCAAAATTATCAGGAAACACTGATGTTGCAGGTAGAATAATAGTGCCCAAAAGATGTCCACATCAAACCCCCTGGAACCTATAAATGTGTTAGACTACATGGCCAAAAGCTAGCTGACTATGAGATTAGTATTATCTTGAATTACCTGGGTCAGTTCAATGCAATTACAAAGAGTCTTGTAAGTAGAAAGGTGAAGTGGAAGAAAGAACTGAGATGGCAGACTGAGGAGTTGCTGTGGCATTGTTTGCTTTGAAGGTGGAGGAATGGCCACTGGTCAAGGAGTCTGGGTGGCCTCTAAAGACTGAAAAGGACCTGGGGAACCAATTACTCTTAGAGCTTCCAGAGGGAAGCAGCCCTTCTGATACCTTGATTTTAACCTAGTAAGACTCATTTCAGACTTGAACTAGAAAAGTACAGGATAATAAAATTGTCTTGTTCTAAGGCACTAGGTGGTATCTGATACAGTAGCCTTAGCAAATTAACACAAAAGAAGCATCTTTGACGTGGAAATTTGTGACTTGAGTCAAATGAGAGAAAAATGAGAAGCAGACAATCTTCCAGGAATTAAGAATCCTGGAAATGTGTCTATCAGATAGACACATGGAATATGCATTTCAGGATTTAACATATATAAATTTGACTCATCCCATAATCAATGCAACATTTTATATTCAGTATGGACCCAAAGATTTGTAATTGCCTTAAATATCTGTTGGGATTAATAATTTATGATCATCAACCCTTGAAGAAAGGATGTCAGTGGCTAGAAAGTGACCCCATAAACCTTGAGGAGCGCTCCTCTGAAAAGCCTACCTCCCTAAAGATGTCACAGAGCCAAGTAATTGGTGGAAATAATGACTCTGAGAGGAAAAGGATTGTGAAAGTCAGGTTTCAAACATGAAGAAAGTTTTAAACATACCTCAACTCTTTCCTAAACATTTTTGTGCATATATAGGTATGTGTGTACATGTATATATAGATCTACGTGTACATGTAAAAGTGATAAATGACAAACATCTGAATCTAAAAAAATCCTAAAATAACTAAATAAAAATCGTAAGTGATATGCAGTCAACAGGTCATAGTTTTATTGCCATCACTTTATATTTCTAGTGCTACAAAAAATAATGTTGCATCCTAGTAAAACCAACAGCATCTTAGGTTCGCTGAAATACTGATTAAAGTGAAGTGAGCTTATCACCTGTTTCAGTGTTGCCTAACCCTGAGCCCAAATTAGAAGGGAGGAAGATATAACAGCAAGGTTAGAAAGCATGTCCTCTACCTGTCCAGTCTGATTTCCAGTGTTTTTGTGAGCAGAGAAAAGCAGAGACCTCCAGGTGTTTCTCCACAATCACTGCTGAGAGGAGGGCTGAATATAGGTCTTATCAGATAGACACATCCAATTCACTAACTCAGTACTCCCAAAGTAGGGTAGTACAGAGTAGCTTCAAAGGGCTTGTCAGCTGATTCCATGCTATATCTCTACTTCCCTGACTACTAATCTTTTGACTGGTGAGTTGAGAAGGCTCTCTAAACATTGTATTTCTCTTTTCTTTTCTTTTTCTCCCTCTCCCTCCCCTCTCCCACTCCCTCCCCCTCTCCCTCTCCCTTCCTTCTCCCTCTCTCTCTCTCTCTCTCTCTCTCTCTCTCTCTCTCTCTGAAACAGAAGCACCATAGAAGTGGAACTTGGAACCACAGTTTCAAAATATTACAACTTCTATACTTTCTTGAAATCAAATTCATGTTGGTCATTTTAACAATAGAATATTTGAGAAGCAGAGGAGGCTTCTGGGCCACTGTAGCACCACTCCCAGCGTAGAGGAAGTGAGCCGTGCCAGTGCCAGCAACACTCCCCCCAACACACACACACCCATCAAAATGAGAACACATCTAAACAAGTCTCAAAACCAGACTTCCAGACCACCTACAGCAACCACAAAGGGAAACGAGATGGAATACTCTGATACTCAACCACCTGGACTCCCTGCATTGGCATCAAAAGAGGATCTGGAAAAAATGAAATCAGAAATAATTTCTCAGATAACAGCAGAGATTTGGTCAAAAACTGAAAACTTTCACACTAAAATCAGGAAGACAAAGAAGTTCACTATCACCACTCTTATTCAATATAGTTCTGGAAACATTTGCCACAGCAATTA